TAGTGGTATAGGCATTCCTACTGATGAATTGGCAGTAGCACTTAAGGGGATTGTTGGCCGAGTTTACGACCAGAAGGACCTAGTGCTGTGCCATAATTCCCGGTAGCATGATGCAGACTGTTTTGACCCTAATTGGCTGCGCCGCAATTAGTGAATTTCGCCTAGTGTTGCCAACTCGTCGCTAGTTAAAAAAGATTTCTTGCAATACTTTTAACGAAGCAGTTTCCATGCTTGAAGACATTAGCCCCAACGCAATGGAAAATCACCTTATACATTAAGATGGCATTGAGAGCATAGCACACACAACTGGATTGACAACCCATTAAAAAAATCGTAAAACCAAGGAAGTAAAATAGCATACAATGCCATTTAATCCATGCACAAGATGATCTAAATATACCGATAAAAACTGGATTAGTGGAAATCATAAACGACAGACACCCTTTCTCTAAGCATTAAAAAATTCAAAATATTCACTCGTCAATAAAATATACGCATCTAGTGTAAATCGAGTCCAGAACACAACTGCTTGTCTGAAACCAATGCAAATACACTCTAAAGGTAAACTGACAAATTATGAATTATCGATGAATTTCAATGCATCAAGAAAATATATGCTGGGGCTTGCTATCCAAATTTGTTATTTCTTTTAGTAAAGAATGTCAAAGGACCTTTCTATAGAAAAAAACGAAAAGTGCTTAGTTAGGAACTCGGGCTTTAATTAAAGCACATTAATCACTTTGCAACAATATGCAGGAAGTTTCAATGGCGTCCCTGGAAGTGTGTGGAGCCTATCGGGGTGACAACTTGGGGCATCCACAATGTGTCATATTTCTCTTTAACGGTGACATTGTTGATTAATTTCATCATCAAATCTTAGAAAAGGCCCGGGAAGTATTTATTTATTATAGTTACTGCACCTGCATTTTCCTTAACAGTTTTATGAGCTGAGAAAGCTGAAAAAGTCTTAAACAAATGTCGTTATAAAGATTTAGAAATCAAATTATATGCATTCCACCAGAACAGCCCACGCATCATGGAATTGGGAATGGCATATGTAAATGGTGTTACAGTATTTATACAACTTAATCTGATGAAATCAGACTCATTTATCAATTAGAACACTAGCTTGCATACAGGGATAAGGCCAGAAGTACTTTAGGACTAGCAAGTTGCTGTAAAAGCAGAAATGCAAGGCTTCAAATGAAATTGCCTTAAATAAGTTTAGGCATCGTCTAAATACCTAGGTGTCAGCGAAGTTATTTCCTTACGTCGAAGAAGCCAGTAGCTGTCTTACAAAACTAGATAAAGTCAAACATGTTCACCTAAATTTCGCTTAAATAGTACGTCTCGGATAAATGCGAATGTAAATAATTTAAAATACTTGTGGATAAGTTTTACGGAATTAGATCATCGCTTGTGACAAATAAATAAACCCTTAGGGTAATTCAGTATATGTTGCTAGATAATTGAATGTACAATTTATGGTTCTAAGATGGATGCTTATAAAGTAATGCATACCATACAGTTACCGAGCAAAATGCCTGATATTTGAATTATTTGCTTTGCCGTTAACTGTCTAATCTAAGCAAGTATGGTTTGGTTAAAATATTGATATAGAGGGCGAACCTGCACAAATTTCTACAAATGTCACCATCAACACTTGATCACGTTACCAATCTCAGCCATATTAATTGCTAAAGATAGCAGTAACATTCTAATAGTAATAATTATTGGTTTTGTGAAGTGTCAGTGTAGTACAAAACAAACGGCATAACAGGACGTTGACTGTGGTAATGTTACAGCCATTATTATTAATAATCTAAAATCCAATAGGGGTACAAGGATCCGAGTTTTCAATGCAGGCTAAAGTTCATGTGACTTGGTAGATTAGTAATTACCTGGGGTTAAGCAACGCCGGCTTGTGATGCACTTAGTTTGGTACCTGGATTATATCGCATCAACTACACCAAACCATTTATTTGAATGTAAGCAAATATTTACATACTCTAGCACTAAGCTTTAAATGCCCAGCACATTTGTAGTTTTGATACAGTGAATTTTAGCAGACAGTTGCATGTTATGTAATCCGTCGGCGATTCCTAGCCTTATTAGGTTTTAGGCAAATCAGTCATGGCGCGGTTTCATAACACTATAGCCTTAATGTTAAGCATTGCGCAGCTTTATCAATAATTTGCTCTTTTAATTTTTGATTTTGCACACTATACACTTTAACGACAAAGATTTGTGACTATCTGAGTATTCGTGGAATGTGTGACAAACTTGTTAATATTGTCTATTTTTACTGAAGTATCCTCTGTGATAGTGAAGCAGTTCCTTGTGATGTTTTGCCATCAAAAGCGGAATGTCAACATTCACTTTTGCACACCCAATGCTTAATAACCATTACATAGTCTTTGATTTTTGATGAAATCCTGTGGAATCAGAAAATTT